GCTGATGATTTATGTGGGCTTATTTTATGTCCTGCAACTTTGCTAAAGTTAATTATTTCAGGTAGTTTTTTAGTTGATTCTCTAGGATTCTCTAAGTAAACCAGACAGTAATAGTTTTTCCTTGCTGCCTGTTCTAATTCCTTCCCTTTCTTTTTCTTTTACTGTTATAGCTGGCATTTCTAGTACAATATTGAATAATAATAGTGATATTGGACATCTTTTGTTCACCCCGATGTTATTGTGAAGGCTTCTAACTTATCCCCATTACAGATAATGCTTGCTTATGGTTTTAGATAACTACTTATTTTAAGGAAAGTTCCATTTATTCCTATGCTCTCTAGCGTATTTAATAGGAATGGGTGGGGCAGCTAGGTGGCGCAGTGGATAGAGCACCGGGCCTTGAAGTCAGGAGGACCTGAGTTCAAATGTAGCCTCAGACCAAACACGACACTTACTAGCTGTGTGACCTTGGGCAAGTCACTTAACCCCAATTGCCTTAAAAAAAAAAAAAGGAATGGGTGTTATATTTTGTCAGAGGCTTTTTCTGCATCTATTGAGATATTCGTGTAATTACTGTTGGTTTTGTAATTGATAAGGTCAGTTATGCTGATAGTTTTCCTAATACTGAACCAGTCCTGCATTCCTGGTATAAATCCCACCAGGTCATAGTGTATTTTCCTTGTGATATATTGCTGTAATCTCTCTGCTAATATTTTATTTAAAATTTTTGCATTGATACTCATTAGGGAAATTGGTCTATAATTTTCTTCTTCTGTTTTGGCTCTTCCTGATTTAGGTATCAGTACCATATTTGTATCATAAAAGGAATTTGGTAGAACTCCTTTGCCTATTTTTCCACATAGTTTATATAGTATTAGGATTAACTGTTCTTTAAATGTTTGGTAGAATTAACTTGTGAATTCATCTGGTCCTGGGGATTTTTTCTTAGGGAGTTTATTGATATTCGGTTTCTTTTTCTAAGATGGAATTATTTAAATATTCTGTTTCCACTTTTATTAATCTGGGCAATTTATATTTTTGGAAATATCCAGTTTGCTTAGATTGTCAGATATATTGCCATATAATAGGGTAAAATAACCCCTAATAATTAGTTTAATTTACTCTTCATTGGTGGTGAATTCACACCTTTCATTTTTGATACTGGTAATTTGGTTTTCTTCTTTCCCCTTTTTTTTTTAATCAAATTAGCCAATGGTTTATCTATTTTATTGGGTTGGGAGGTTTTTTTTGTTTCCCATAAAACCAGTTCTAGCTATATTTATTAGTTCAGTGTGTTTATTTCAATTTTATTCATCTCTCCTTTGATTTTTCAGGATTTCCAATTTGGTGTTTAATTGGAGATTTTTAATTTGTTCTTTTTTAGTTTTTTTTAATTGCCTGCCCACTTCATTTATCTGTTCTTTCTCTATTTTATTTATTAATGTAAACGTTTAGGGATATAAAATTTCTCCTAACTACTTCTTTGACAGCATCCCATAAATTTGGTGTGTTGTCTCATTGTTGTCATTCTCTTTAATGAAATTATTGGTTATTTCTATGATTTGTTCTTTGACTCACTTATTCTTTAGGATCAGAGTATCTTAGATTTTTTTTTTGTTTGAGTTTTTGTCAGCTTCCTTCCACTGTCACTTCTGAACAGTGTTTTGCTTGAATATAACTGTTATCTTCAAGTTCAAGTAAAAGATTCTCCTTTTGACATTTTCCTTGAAATTTGCTGCCTGAAATCTCACCTGCCTCTTCCAGTAAGATGTTCAGCATGTTCTAGAGAGAATTTCCTTCAGAGTAGTTTGTATTCACTTAGCTGGGTACTTCAGATATTCCTTTATTGCATGGTTTTAATGGAAGATTCTTTATGCTAGGGCACAGCTAGCAAGAAAGTCAGTGTAGGGAGTATAATTATAAATATCAAATAGTGGGGAACATTCCACTAATCCCCTGATAATTGAGGTGATTATGGATTACTAGACAGCTCCAAATTGCATAGTTGTAGCCACCATTCATCACTGTAGGAAGGAGCATTATGAGACATTCCCAGAAATGAGGCATTAATGGCTATACCGCACTCCCTAAGTTATTTCTTAATGGGATCGTTTATTTACGTACAAGACTCAAACCTGAAATGGCAGCACATGGATTGGAATGAATCAAAAGAACTGAGAGTAATTCGGGGAAGCTTACAGAAGAAATACAAATAAGAGTGGAGCCTTTTCCCAATCACTTCAAACATAATTCTCAATATGGTGACATTTGGCCAGCACAGCATCCTAACCTCCTGGCAGGCAGAAAATGCCCAGTGGTGGCCAGATTGTCACAACCGGTTCATTTTCTTTACAGTTGGACCCACGATGCTCTCTGCATTTGGGCACCAGGGCATCACAAAGCATTGCTGTTAGTCTGGATGCCCAGGTTCCAGGTGAGAAATCCAGAGCCATTTCTCGAACTCAGGAGAGTGACCCGGTAAGTTGCCTCTATGTTTCTTATTTAGTCTCAATGTGTAGAATGTGATGTTTTAGAAGCATAATAGCTTAATTATCGAGCCCAACTGCTTCATTTTATAGGTGAAGAAATTGAGACTTAGAGAGTCAAAGCAACATGTCCAAAATTAAACGGGTAATGAGTTGCAGATGTAAAATTTTAACTCATATCCTTCGGTGCCAGACCCAAGTCTCTGTAATGGAATGCAATAAATTCTTGTTGACTTCAATTCCACTGAAAGATGGGATTATTCTCATTGTGCAGAGGTGAAAACTCAAGCCCAGGGAAGTTAAATGCCCTGCCTGGGGTCACATGGATAAAAAAAAAAATCTAGATTCCTTTATCCTCCTACCATTGTCTTTTTCCTCTCTTCTATAATGCTACCAGGACAGAGCTCTTTAGAGAAGGAATCAGCTTGAATCAACATAAGACCAAAAACCATTCAGGGAAGTTTGACAAAGCTTTAGCTGGGGCAGTCTTGTGTGATGCATTTCTGGTTCAAGTCCTATTAGAATAAGTGTTGATCTCTTCTTTCTTTCTCCCCTTGTATTGTTGCTCATAAATAAAATGAGCTGTGTGGTCTCTGCTTAAATGTGAAAAACTTGGCATTCAACAGCATTTCTTCTTCTCTTCCCCATTTCAACCAAAATATTTTTTCAACTAAGTTAATAAAGAATATGAGGAAGAAAAAAATATATATCTATCCCCCAAAATATGACCTTTATAGAATCCATGCTTTTCATGCTTTCACTCCTCACCTTGCTCACAAATACAGAATGAAGTAAAATGAACAAAGTCTTTAAAGGTGCCTTTCAGCTTCCTCAGTAATTAGAGTGTCTTTCTCTGCTGATTCCTCTGGGGTTTCTATGGAAACAGCAGCATGCAGATGATCTTGTCACATGACTAGAGCATCTCTGTACTCAGCACAGAAGAATCCAGATGGCAAGAATTGTCTTTCATACCCCACGTGTAGGGTTTGTGTTGCTGGGCAACTAGCTTCATCATTCAGACCACTACTGCCTAATACACTTTGTATTTGGCCGCAACAGCCAGCATTTTATAGTATCTTTAGTCATGCTGCTCTGACTCAGAAATTTGTGTTTTCCCACCTTGGTACAACAGACCTTCCCCACTTCTCCAGGGGACTTGTCTGTTGATTAAACATACCCAGTTTTTTCTATCCATCCTTGATCCTGAATGTTCACATTTTGCCTCCCCAGGCCAAACATGGAGAGCAGCACCTGTGTCAACACTACAGCATTCCCCTGAATGAACTGAAGATTATTTTCCCACATGGACTGCCCCCTCGTTTTGGAATGCAGGTGCTTGAGGCGAAGGATTGGGATGGGAGGAAATGGAATGGAATTGGGGGAACCAAAGGGACAGCAAGGAAGGGCAGGGGAAGAAAAAAAGTGAAAGATATGACTTGAACCTGGGGAAAAGAGACTATAATAATTCATTGATAGTGCACTAGAAGGTTGACAAACTCATTGCTCACAAGTCTATAAGGTAAATAATGGCAGTGTCACTATACAGGTGAGGAAGCTAATACACAGTCAACTATCTTTTCTTACATCCCATAATTACAAAGTATTAGACCTGGGACCTGAACTTAGATCTTATCTCCAAATCTGGTGCTAATCCCATTACAGCATGATAGTAACTTTATGTTAGCCATTTTGTGTATTATCTGAAACAGGTATTTAATTGTGGGCTAGCCATTCCTCTTATGCAACAGGTATCTAGACCTCCTTCTAGCTTGTGTGTTCTGTGGAAACACAATGGGATGCTGGGAAAAGAAATAACACACATTCCAGAACCAAATAGAAATAACTTTCAAATTAGCTATATTGTTTTTTCCTATCCATTCTTACGGTTTATTATAACTTTTTTGAGAGGCAGTAGTGGAAAGAGTGATGGACTTTGAGCCAGGGTGACCTGTGATCAGATCCAGCCTCAGGCCACAGTTCTCTAAACCTATTTCCCTGTCTATAAAATGGTCATAGTAAAACAGCTTACAGGGTTGTTTTAAGGACCAAATGTAGTAACATATATAATGTCCTTTACAAAGCTTAAAGTGTTATAAAAATGTTTGTTGCTATTGTTTTATTTGGGTTTATACATCATCCAAGAGAGAATTAATCTTAGGTCCCTACATAGTGTCTTGACTAATTTGTCAATATTTTTATTGTCAGTATTCACTGGTTCCTGGTGAAGTGTGCAAGAACTCATACTCTGATTTATTAATAAAATGCCAAACAAGTGTTAGAAGCTAGAATTTGGTATTTCTACATGATGTGTCTTTCTAAAAATCAGAAAGATATCATGAAAGAACTAATTCTAGGCCATGGACATACTTGTCATTCAAAATGCCGTTGACAAGAATGCAGCTGCTCAATGCACCAAGTCCAAGGGATCATAACAGCTCTACAGCACAGCAGAATGTTCTAAGACATTCATGGCCAGATGTTACACACAGGCATAAGGCCCTCTGCCTTTAACCTTTTGATGTTTCTTCATGATATACTCGGGCACAGGAATTCTCCTTCCTTTGCTTAAATATGACTCTTATTTTTAAGTTATATATTGGATATTATTTAGAGAATACTTTTTAGTCAAAGCTACCCCCAGCTGTCATTTTCATCTCTAAAACCAATTTCGTCAGGGTTCATTATCAGAAAACCACTCTCGATGTAGAAATGCCTTGGTTTATTTGCCAATTATGTGAATTTAGATTACTTAATTTTATTATGACCTAAATTATAATAAAAAACACTTCAAATAGTCTTACATGAATAAATTGCTATTTTTCCTTCTTAAAAGCATAATGTTATATATAACTCTGAATTATTTGTGTGTTCTTTTCTAGCTATATGGGGAAATTTATGTTTTAAATACATTTAAAGGAATAAAGTCAAGATCAACTTCACAGACTGATTCTTTTCAGCGTGGCGATTATCTGCCCTCCTTGTTCTCCTTTTTCTTTTCACACTCATTTTCATTTGTTTTCTGGCTTCTCTACTAGAATTTTTACAACTCAACCCATTATTTCTATTTTGATTAGAAGAGTATCAGTGAGGTTAGCAGCACAAGTCCAATCTTTGAATGGACCACTTGACTTTGCAGGAAAAATTTTGTTGGCCACAAACATTGCCCTCCCCCAGGTTCACAGTGTCTCAGGTGCATGCCAGTGGTCACAGAGATGGCCTCCAGGCCATCAATTGCTTACATCAGTAATTCAGTTGCTTACTTCTACTTCTGAGAGACCCTTAGTTTTGGACAGAGAGGTGGTAAATGCTGATCAAAATAGTGCATCTGGATTGTTTATAGATTTCAGTTGTCAATACAATCTCTGTCCTGTCCCTATCTCCCTTTTTCTCTACCCACCCCCCAATAAGAATAATCAAAGACTATATTTCATTATTTTATTACTCACTGTGACATGTTTTGCTCTTCAACCCATTCTTCTCTTATGTTTTGGATTAATTTTAAAATATAATACAGACTTTGCTTGGACTGTCCTTATAAAATTGTAGCCCTGAGTTTTGGTCCCTTAAGTTACCTTAATAGGTAAATTGTGTCTGCAGAGAGCAAGTGAGAAATTCGATTTCTTCCTTCTGTAGGTGAAGACCTTCAATGAAGCCTGCCTAATGGTACGGGAGCCAGCTCTAGAGCTCCTACACTACTTGAAAAATACAAATTTTGCCAACCCTGCTATCCGATATGTCCTCTGTATCCTTCTGACTGCTTTCCCTGAGCTAAGGGACAAGGAAAATAGGAGATTGCTTTTGTGAGCTGGAATGAGTCTTGAGTCTAGTGTTTTCTTTAACAGAGGGTTCTTCAGTTGGAGAAAAGGGCACAGGAAAAACTCTTACTCTTTGCCATGCAGTTCATTTCTGTGCAAAACAGGACTGGCTGATAATGCACGTTCCAGATGGTAAGTGCTTCAGATCTTCTTGGTCTTGCTCTCAGTTCTTCTGTCACCCTGTGGTTTTAATTTGCTGCCAGGGCACTAGAAAAAAAGGGTTGCTCTTCAGGGAGTAAGCAGAGGAGTCTGAGCTCTATTTTCATGATTTCTCCATGATTAGAATTACAAACAGGCTGCAAGGTAAAGAAAATGTGATTATAAATACTCCCTTGACTCCTTCAACATCATAAATTTGTCTCGATGTGGCATTCTCTCTTCTGGTACTTAGTACCTGGGAGGACGAATCCCAGCCTGTTCAGCTGCCTGTAGTTTGGTTCCCATGACGTGTTGTTGTTTTTTTTTTTGTTTTTTTTTTTTTTCAGTATCCTTTGAGCCCCTCCCATGGTGGTGAGTAAGAGGCACGTTTCTGCCAAGGTGAACAACATGACTCAATCACTTGCTCACCAAATGCACACCACCCTTTAGACTTATTGGACCTACATTTGGATCACAGAATATAGAGCCAGAAGGGATCTTAGCTATTATCTAGTACAGTCCTCTCATTTTACAGATGAGAAAACTGAGAGTTTGAGTGACTTGTCCAGTGCTGTGATACAGTAGGGAGCTTTGACCTCAGGTCCTCTTATTCAGAATCCAGGGTTCTCTGATTTCTACAATGTTCCCTTTATCTACATTTACTTCAGGTCCTCATTCAATGCTGTGTCACACATAATCTGGCTTAGATAGTAATCTCCCCAAAAAAACCAGGGATCATTTTATCTCTCAAGTGGTTTGGTATTAGCAAATGCTCAGTCTCTTTGTAAAGATGATTTTGAAGATACTGTTGCCTTCTGAGAGGCACCCAAAGAAGGTAAGTCCTAATGGGAGATTTGCCAGTATAGATAAATCAGATACTAAAGTGGTTTCCCATAAATGAAAGCAGCAGAGTCTAATTCTTTGCAATGGGTCAGTAGCTCATTTTGGTCAGATTCTTACTTACTTACTTGTGACTTCTTGTAGCTCACTGTTGGGTGAAAAATTGTCGGGATCTTCTGAAGTCTACCTACAACAAAGAACGTTATGATCAACCTCTGAAAGCCTCAACCTGGTTAAAGAATTTCAAGACTTCAAATGAGCGGTTCCTGAACCAGGTCACTAAGACTCCCTAGAAATTTAGTTTAGAGGAATTTTTAAAATCTGTGTTTTGCCCTGTATAGTCTTGATGTATAAACTTCCTATTGTTCCCTATGATCTCGGAAGGGGATCTACAAAGATAATAATGCCACAATTTAAGTTCCTTTTGTGTAAACTATTACAAAAGTATCACAACTATTATTTATGCCTACATCATAGACAAGAAGTTGTGTCTAGAGTTGGCTAAGTAAATTTTTTTAGACAGTGACACAAGAAAAGCCAAAGACTAAGATGTACACCCTACTGCACTCAGGTTCACTCTTAACATGAAGGACTTTGCTGTTTCAGATCAAAATCCAACAGAAGTACATCTGGAACAAACGGGAAAGCATAGAGGAGGGCAGACCCCTTGGAGAAGTAGTTGAACAGGTGAACAGAGGGCATTCGATTTCATTCTTGCCCATTCTGATGACCACAAAAAACTTTGACTAAGACTCTGACTCTATATCTCTGACAGGGCCTAAATAGAGTGAAAAATGCCAGTGATGCTGTCGGGATTGTGATGAAAGAACTGAAAAGGCAAAGTTCTTTGGGTTCCTTCCGCCTTCTGGTGGCAGTGGATAGTGTCAATGCTCTCTGGGGGAGGACCACACTGAAAAAAGAAGACAAAAGCCCGGTACAGAAATGTTGTTTCTCGATTCTTTCATTCCATATTTCTAACACCCTCCTAATCCCAGTGGCAGGATGAAGTCTTAATGATCTTTTGATGTACCTTCCTGCCTGAGTGATCTATGAATGATTGTTCAGTGCAAAGAATGAAGTGTGAAGACCCTATACCTCTGGAAATGGCAAGCCCCTGGTAACTACAAGGAGTAGACTAGTCAAAGAAAGGAGAGGTAAAGGGCTTCAGCCATGAAAAGTGAAATCAAGAAAAATGTTTTGGAGACAGAACAGAGCCAACTTTGTGTTTTATAAATTGATAAAAAGAATCATCAAAGCTAGGAGGTGGTTTTAATTTAATTCATTTAAACATTTATTATATCCCTATGAGCATGTGTTACAGCCAGGTACTGTGCTTAATAGTAGGTATAGAGGGGAATTCTCTCACTTATAAACAGATCTATCAGAAGTATTAGAAGAGGCATGGCAGTTTTAAGTAGTCTAAAACAGGGCTTCTTAACCATTTTTGTGTCATGAACTCCTTTGGGCAGTCCTAAACCTCGATAAACTCCTTCTTAGAACCATATAAATAGACAGGATTACAAAGGAAACCAATTAGATTAAAATAAGATTGAATTTTTCCCATCCAAATTCATGGACCCCAGACTAAGAACTCCTTGTTTAGAGAATGTGCAATGAAAAGGTCTATGCCATATCTGATGGTTGGCTTCAATGGGCAAGTCCTGTTCCTGCCTTTCCCTTGGTCTTCTCCTCAAAAGTCCCCTCCAAAAGTCTAGTGGAGCCCAGAAGTGCCCTGAGATTTGTTTTGAAGTCCAGCATAGGCACTATAAGCTAGCCTTCTTAGAAAAATTTGTTAGTGGGTCTTTTTTGGGGGGAAGGGAAGGGCCGTATCTTCTTTCTGTTATCCATTGAATTACTCTAAATCATATCCATAACAAGTAAAAGATGATCTGCCTTTTGATGCCTCATCTGCAGGTTGCCCCAGAGGAGCTGACACTCGTTCATAATGTGAAAAAAATGGTGACCAATGATTGGGTGAGTGCAGGGAAGTAGGAAAATGGTAACTAATCCATCCCAGGCAGCTCACTTACCACCCTTGTTTAAAAAAAAAGTTTCACATAACCCATAGCCCCAATTAATTATATTAGTCTAATTCTACTATTATGATCAGGAAGGTCTTCTCATAATAGAGGCATGTAGGTAACTTGTTGTACAGAGTTCAAATCCTGCCTCAGACTCCTCTTGGCTCTGTGACCCTGGGCACCTCACTGCGCCTCTCTTAGCCTTCCTTTTTTCATCGATAAAATGAAAGGGTTAGACTTGATGGTTGATGACTAGCAACCTGTACTATCAAACCTAAGCCTATTCAAACTCTAGATCAGAATCCAAGACTTTGGACTCCTTTTTTCCATTCTATTAAACTGGAGTGGGTGACTTGGCTGTTGGGCTGATGTTGCTAAAATACTTTCTTGGCTCTCATTTGTTGCACTGTGGTCCCTGCAGAGGACTCCAACTAGCACCCAGAACTTGATGCACATGCCAGGGATATTTCCAGATATGTCACTACAAGGCAGTACAGGGAGGTGAGGGCATCATCTGGTGATTAAGATGTATTTTCTCCTTGTAGCAAAAACAGATCATCTCTTGCCTTCTTTGTTTCAGCATGGAGGGGCTGTCGTGGTGAGTCTGAGCCAAACTGGCTCTCTCTTTAAACCCAGAGCTGCCTATCTTCCCCAGGACTTGCTAGGAAAGGTAAATAAAAGCTGCTTCTTCATTGTGGATAAAAGGCTTCATTTGTCTTAAAAGTGATACAGAGTTCCCTTCTTATGCTGAAGCCTGTGATGCTTTGTTCTAGTTGAGTTGCCTCTTATTCATTCTGTCTCAGGCCCTAGTTCCCTTTTATTTTAAGCAAATTGTTGTTACCATGTCAGTAGAAGTTAGCTCCATGAAGGAGTAAATTTTCATTTTCTCCTTGTTGGCATGTCATATAACTAATATTGTGTTTTCTTGTGTTGTTTTTGTTATTTTTATCCCCAGGAAGGTTTTGACAACCTAGACCCCTTTGTTCCCATCCAAGTTTACAATTATACCCCAAAAGAGTTTGAAAGTTGTGTTCAGTATTATTTGGAAAACAGGTGGCTTCAGCACAGGACAGGTAAGCTGAGTAGTCTGCTTTCCAGGGCCTTGGCCTACAAAATTAATATATGGAGTCATACCATTATTGCTACCTGCATTGTCATTGTTTATCCACCCATCTCCCTCTCCCCTAGTCCCTCTTTTTCTTACTCTAATGTTTTTACTTAGCTAATTGGGTGATGGGGAAAAAAAAAAAAGAGCCAGAGAAAGGAAACTAGACAGCAAGCAGCCTGGCCATTAGGCAATGTTTCTAGGGTGCTCAGAACACTGTTGCTCTTTTGGAACCTGAGAGTATGGAGACTCAGTCAAGTAGCATTTATTAATTAAAAGTCTACTTTGTGCCAGCCAGGAGATACAAAAACAACCATGAAGTAGTCCCTGCCCTTAAAAAGTTTACATTAATGATAATTTGCTATTAAAATAGCACCATAAGGTTCGAATATCCACTTTGATTACATTTTGTCAGAGGAAACATGTCCACATAAAAGTAAAAAATAAAGCATAAACAAAGTAATGTGAGGTAGGACTGAGATCAGAAAAAGTCAAACGTAGTGGCAGTTGTGCTGGGCTTTTAAAGGAGCTGGGAATCCAAGAGTCAAATCAAGAAACGAGAACCCTCTAGGCAAAGAAGACACAGCCAACTAGAAAGGAGAGGTGAGGTATAGACAGGGAATGGCAAGTAGGCCAGTGTGTCTGCACTGTGAAGTGCATGAATTACATGTGTTGAATGTACACCCACAAGGTGTACGGTTAGAAATGTCCAGCAGTGGGGCAGCTAGGTAGCACAGTGAATAAAGCTTTGGCCTTTGAATCAGGAGGACCTGGGTTCAAATCCAACCTCAGACACTTAACACTTACTAGCTGTGTGACCTTAGGCAAGTCACTTAACCCTGATCACCTCACCAAAAAGCAAAGCAAAGAAAAGAAATGTCCAACAGGCAGCTGATGGCGCAGGACTGAGCATAGGACACTAGGGTTGAATAGATAGAACTGGGGCTCTCATCAGCTAAGCGGTGGTGATTGAGCTCTTGTGTGAGGCAAGGAGGTCACCCAGTGAGAGAGCAGACAAGAGAAGAGGGCCTAAAGGCAGAGCCTTGTAGTATACCCACAGTGCCAAATCTATTATTATTATTATTATATTATTATTATTATTATTATTGACACTGAAAAGAGCCATTTAGGTTAATGAAGAGAAGAAGCTACATTGCACGTGTATGAGAACTATGTGAGTACCTCCTCCATCTTAGCAGACAGAAAAAAAGGGAGGGGGACAGGGAAGGGAACAAGAGAGAGACCAGCTGTGGGGAATGAGACATTTGTTTTCAGACATGGCCAATGTATTGATTTGTTTAACTATACTTGTTAGAAGAGAGACAGCAGGGAGGTGGAGGAATTGGTGGAAAATGACTTAAAAAGAGGACCAAAAACACTTCTTAAGTAAGAGAAAGGAGATTAAGTAGAGGGTAGCAAATATAAATAGCTTTTTTCCAGCAAAAGTGCAAGTCACTTTGCAGACCACTAACCCAATGGTTAATTACTCTCTGGAAAGACCTACCTTCCATTATTACAACCAGCTGTTTCTGTTTTTGTTTTTTTTTTCTTTGGTATTTTTTAAGAATAAGGATAGCATAGCTATTCTCATCAACCCTGGCATACAATCCCCAGTCTCCTTTGATCTTTTATCAAATAAATGAGTATTTTCAGTTCATTTTTTCACTTTTGCTCTTACCCCTGTAGGTAGGGCTTGGAGGAAGCAAAAAAAATCAAAGAGTCAGAATATATTCTTTCCCTTCAGTTTGGAATTTGTCTGTTGAGAAATTAGGTGTTTCAAGGTTGGAGAGAGTAACATGATCTATCTTGGTGGCTGAGATGAAATGTATAGAGCCATGAAGAAGTCTTTTAGGGTCACAAGGTGTAATGATAAGGAATTTGATTGGAGAACAAGATATCAAGAATGCATCTGTGGGATCTATAGATTCAGCATCAGAACTTCATTATGAAAACGTAGCCATTTTCAGCAGCATTTACAGGAAAGAAAAAGCAGTGTGATAGTCGAAACACCCGATGTTTAAAATACCTAATACGTGCCAGGTACTGTGCTAAGCAATGGAGACAAAAATACAACAAATGAAAAAATCTCTACCAAAGTAGCAGAGTTCTACAGGGGGAGATAACATGTCAACATAAGAATATAGAAGGGGGCAACTAGGTGGCGCAGTGGATAGAGCACCGGCCCTGAAGTCAGGAGGACCTGAGTTCAAATCCAGCCTCAGATCAAACACTTGACCCTTACTAGCTTTGTGACCCTGGGCAAGTCACTTAACTCCAATTACCTAAAATTTAAAAAAACAAAAACCCATAAGAACATAGATACTAGTTAAATTAGAGAGGAAATCCTCTAGCATTTGGGAAAAGGAAAGGGTTGATGTAGAAGGTTATGTTTGTCTCTTCAAGAAAGAAGGGGATTCTATGAAGTGAAGGTAAGAAGGATGTGCATTCTAGGCATTTTGGGCGTGTGTGTGTGTGTGTGTGTGTGTGTGTGTGTGTGTGTGTAACAGAGAGAAAACTGGTTTGGCTGAACAGGTGTATACAGTTGCAGGAAAGAAGGTAATGTCCAAGGTGGGTGGAGGAGGGAGGCTGCCTAGAAAAATAGAATGGACCCAGGTTGTGAAGGGCTTTAAAAGCTAAACAGAGTTTATATTTCATCCTAGATGCAATAAGGAACCACTGGAATTAAGAGCATGACTTGGTTTGATCTCAACTTAAGGCATATCACTTGGGTAGCAATGTGAAAAATAGATTGGGGGAGGGAGGCAAGAACACCAATTTAGGAGGCTTTGTAATAATCTAGGTTACTAGTAATGAGAGACTGAACTTATGTATTGGTTGTGTTTGTAGCAATAAGGGGTGGAATGTGAAAGATACGGGGGTAGAAATGGCAGGATTTGGCAAATGATTTCATAGGGAATGAGGAGAACACTGAGATTATGGACCTGGGAAAATGGAAAAAGTGAGATTTGGGGGGAGGTTAAGTGTTGAGTTCTGTTTTGAATATGTTGAGTTTGAGATATCTCTACATCATCCAATTTGAAATGAACAAGAGGCAATTGGTGATGCAGAACAGCTTGGGAGACACTGGAGCTGGATATATAGATCTGTGCATCATCTGCATCGAGCAGCTAATTAAACCCATGGGAGTAGATTAGGTGATCTAGAGAATTTAAAAAGGAGCAGTCAGAGAGATAGACAGTGTCAAAACCGAGGGAGGAGAAGGTGGGGGATCAGCAGTAGAAAATGCATCAGATGGAGATAGTCCAGGACTCTGAATCCAAGAGCCTAAGGAATAGCAATGATTCCAATGCAGTGCTTGTAGTCATCATACTGGGTAGATGTGGCCAGGCTACTGCTCTATTGATGACCCAGAAAAGATAGTTCTTACCACCAAAGTCCTTGGCACTGTCACATGGTTCGACATCAGAAACTGATACCATTTTTTCAGTGGAAATGACATGAAAGAAGAGACATCACCACCTGGTTTGCAGCTTACATTCTAAGGACTGCGAGACCTTTCCATCTGACTTGTAGCTAGAACTTTTTATATAGGTTGTTTCTCTCATATAGAATGTGAGTTCCTTGAGAGCAGAGCCTGTCCCACTTTTCTGTGTGTATCCCTAGCACTTAGCACAGTGTTTTGCACCTAGTCAGTACTTAATAAATCTACGTTGGTTTTGGGGGTTTTTTTTGTTTTTTGTTTTTTGTTTTTTTTTTGTTTAGTTTGTTTATTTGTTTTTTTTTGTTTTTGTTTTTGTTCAATAGTAACGTCAGAAGCCAGAGTTCAAAGGATTGAGGAGTGAGTAATAGGTGAGGAAGTAGAGGAGTGAGGGGAGACGGCTTTTTTAAGAGTTTGGTTGAGAAAGGGAAGAGAAATTTAGGCCAATAGCCTGAGGGGATGGTAAGGTCCAGTAAAGATTTTTACAATTAGGAGTGACTTGGGAATGTCTGAAGTAGTAGAGGAACCAGTAGAGAGGGAAAAGCAAAACATTCAAGAGAGGATGCTTGATGGGATTAGGATCAAGAGCATGTGTAGAAAAGGTGATCTTAGCCAGGAAAAGGTTCAGCCATCTCGCTATTAGAGAAGGTTGGGGGACAGATGTTAGAGAATAAAGAGAGTCCGTAGTGAATGGTCTCAGATTTCTTCGTAAAGTAAGAAGCAAGGTCTGTAGCTGAAAGATTGTGGGGCTAGAGGGCTTGAGAAGAAAAGATTTGGAATAACTTCTGTAGGGAGTAAAATGAAAATCAATTAAGGAGGAATAAAAAGATTGCTTTGCTGCAATAGGCAGCCCCAGTGTAATAACATAATAGTGTACCTAGTCAGCAGTTGTGCAACTTCCTCCATCTCAGGAGGAGGAGTGGTGGAGGGGGCTGGTAATCATCCAAAGATGGAGGTCAGCAAGGGATGCCCAACGATAGGACAAGGAGGCAATGACAGTGTGGAGATGTCTTCCTAAAATTGAAATTGGGGAAGAGAGGAAAATACAGAGTTGGGGTAATGGCCTAAGGATATACTAAAGGGTAGAGAGATTGGAGGTCAGAGTGAGGACAAAGAATAAATTTAGAAGGTAGCAAGGCATAGGGGAAGAAGGAATGATAGATTGGAGGCTGAGGTCAGATTAAGGAAAGTCATGAATTTTTTTTTTAATGGAAGAAGTAGAAAATCTAAGTAATGGTGAGAGCCAAGATGCAGCCATGGTCCTTTATTTGGCTGAAGTAGAATGAAGGAAGAGCCAATAGACTTTAAAGAAGATGAGGGTTTGCAAAGAAGATGACAATGAGCCAGGTGCTAAATTCCATGAGAAAGGAGAATGAATGACCTGGAGGCCTGTATACAATAACCACCTTATAATTTGAATAAGATAGAAAATTTTGATTTAGTAGATAGCAAAGGAGAAGAGATTGAGCAGCAGCCCTCTGCTTGTCAAGGCAGACTTTGGTACATGCACACTTGGGGCATCTCTACAATTTACTCCAACTATCATCCTGACTGTCTTTCTGATGTTCAACATCTATCTTTTGGCTCCTTCCTTGCTGCCTACAAACATAGTCATGTCTTCCAACCAACTCAAACTTGATGCTTTCCTACTCCCTAGCCCTCTTAGCATATTGCCAATTATGCCCAGCCAAGCCTCAGCCTTGGATCACTCCCCACCATTCATTCGCCCCTTTCTCATCCACACAAGTGCTTCTGAATGAAGGTAGAGAAAATCACACAACCATTCTGACTGCTTCCATTACAAATTTATGTTGCATAACCTCCACTGGGCCCTCACCCCTGCTGGGCAGTCCTTATCAGCTCCCCATTCCACTCTCCATAGTGGTTCTTCCCCACCTTTTCATTCCTCCTCAAACTTCCCACAGCTGCTTTTCCTCCCACTCCCTCAGCTAAGAACCCTGCCTCATTTTGTAGAAGAAGCTGAGGCCATTTACTGTGTGCTTCCTTTTTTTCCCTCTTCCTTGTCTTCTGTCACTTAGGTTCTCCTCCACTATTGCCTCACATGATGAAGTGGCCTTACTCCTTACCACAGCTAAAAGTTCTGCTTGTTCAAGCAGTCCCGTTCCATCCCCTCCCCTCCAACAGACTGTCCTCTCTGTCATCCCCACTCTTTCACTTATTTTCAATCTTTCCCTGCCTACTGATGCATTTCCTACACTGCCTACACACATGCCCATGTCTTCCCTATCCTGAAAAAATCCTCACTTGATCTTCCATCCCTGCTAACTACTGTCTTTTATCTCTTCTGCCTTCTGTAGCCAAACTCCTCAAAAAGACCACCTACTATTGTAGGTGCCTCCACTTTCTCTCCTCTCATTCTCCTCTTAGCCTATTAAAGTCTGGTTTCTGAACTTATCATTCCACCAAAACTACCCTCTCCAGAGTTACTAATGATCTCTTAGTTGCCACATCCCATGGCCTTTTTTCAGTCCTCATTCTCCTTGACCTCTCTTCAACCTTTGACATAGTTGACCATTCTCTCCTCCTTGATGTTGGGACACCAACATCTCTCCTGGTTCTCCTTCTACCTATCTGACCATTCCTTCTCTGTCTCCTTTGGTAGATCCTCCTACAGAGCACACCCTCTAACGGGAGGTGCCCCTCAGGGTTCTGTCCTGGGCCCTCTTCTCTTCTCCCTCTATACCACTTCATTTGGTCATCTCATCAGCTCCCAAGGACTTAATTACCATCTGTATGATGATGATTCTCAAATCTACCTATCCTGCCCCAATCTCTCTACTGACCTTGCATATCCAACTGCCTTTCAGACAAGAGACGTCATAAACCCAATAGGTCCAAAATAGAACTTATCTTTCCCTCTAAACCTTCCCTTCCTCCTATCTTCCCTATTACCATAGAGGGCAACACTATCCTCCCAGTCTCTCAGGCTCACAACCTAGGGATCATCCTGGATTTCTCACTATCTCTCACCCCCCATATCCAATCTGTTGCCAAGGCCTGCTGATTTCACCTTTCAACATCTCTGGTATATGCCCCCTTTTCTCCTCTGACACTGCCACCACTCTAGTGCAGGCTCTCATCACCTCATACCTGGATTATTACGGTCACCTCCTGGAGGGTCTGCCTGCCTCATGTTTCTCCCCATTCCAATCCATCCTCCATTCAGCCACCAAAGTCACCTAAAGTGCAGGTCCTGATTATATCACCCCACCCCCCTCAATAAACTCTAGTGGCTCCATGTTGCTTCCAGGAGCAAATAGAAAATGCCATTGTTGACATTCAAAGTCCTAAATAACCCAGCCCCTTCCTACCTTTCCAGTCTTCTTACACCTTATTCCTAGATATGTACTATTCAAATCCAGTGACACATGGAACACTTTCCCTCCTTCACGCTAACCACTGACTTCACTGGCTTATTTTAGGTCCCAACTGAAACTCTACCTCCTAGAGGATGCCTTTCCCAAAGCCTCTTAATTCCAGTGCCTTCCCTCTGTTAATTGTTTCCTGTTTTTCCCATTTATAGCTTGCTTTGTATATATTTGTTTGAATGTTGTCTTACCCATTCAGTTGTAAGCTCCTTGAGGGCAGGTATTATCTTTTACAAAACTTTTTGTAAGACCAGCGCTTGGCACAGTGCCTGACACAGTCAGTGCTTGACTGACCTACTAGAAATGGCAGTGGAGAGAAATTAGTATTCTGGCTTTCCCTCTGTGTGTCGGGGTATAAGTAAAGGAATTCAGTGTCATCTGGGGAAATTAAATTTCATTGACTGCAAGTTAGTGGGATGAGTATGAGAAAAAGGTCCAGAATGTAGGAAACTTGTTCACTATGGAATAGGAATTCCAGAGACCATAGTGGAAAAGGGGGTGGCCAGGGTCAGAGAATGGGTGTAGTTTGGGAGAATAGGTAGGCTTGTGGGATGATTTGGGCAATTAAGTAATACAGGAAGTAGTGGGTGGCTCAAGTCTTATAGCTACAAAGGGTAGATTACGTGCCATTTACCTTATGCCTGTCTCCTTTTTAGCTCACACAGAAGAAGGAAAGAAGGAGCTGTTTTTCCTTAGTAACTCAAATCCCTGGCAGCTAGAACGGCTCTGTGCTTATCTCTAAGTCCTGCCCGTCTCCACGAGACCTGGTACGTGGAACGTGTTGACCTGAACCAGAAAGGAGGCAGCCAGGATCCTCCATCTGGATAGATCCCAGGGCTTGGAGTCCGCAGCAGGCCTCTAGAGCTCGGGGAAGAGTCTTCCTAAGGGCGGCCAGATTGCCTGTCACAGTGACTGCAGCAGCTGGAGATTCCATCCTTGGTCTTGTCACTTGTGTCAGAATGTGAACGTTGGACATTGTTCTCAGAAGCAGGATTCTATGATCCTTCCCTCTGTAAAAAACAAAACAAAAAAAGAGATAAAATTCTTTTCTTAAAAGAATTATGATATAATAAGTACTGGCTAAGCTTTAGTGTTCATGATGAGTCTGTATTGGGTATCTGCAGGTCTTCCCTCATTTAAAGAGAATTCCTCGATCATTGTGTTTTCTGTTCACAATTCAGTTCAAGAGGTGGAGATGACAAGATCCACTCCTTTTCAGCCTGCCCCTCACGTAAACTCACCCATTTTCTTGTTTACCTTCTGCTTTCACTTTCTCTGACTAGGATTAAATGACTTGAATTTTTATATCTGATTTGAATGATTACTACATAGAGGAAAAAAACATAAAAAGACAGTAAGCAGCTCTCCTTCCTCTTGATCATAACCAAAGATTTAGACTTTAATGATTTACTACTGGAATAGGGAAGGGGTCAGGGTTCAAGGGTTCATGCCTCATCCATAACCCTCTTGACTGTGGGTATAGACTCTGCTGAGTAAGGAATCAAAGGTACAGGGTTCAAACCCCACTTCCTGCCTCTGTAATCTTAAGCAGGTCACTTAAATTCGATGGGCCTCAGTCTCCCTGTTTATAAAATGAAGGGGTCAGGCCAGATGATTAGTAAGATAAAGTATGAAGAGTGTCTAAAAAGCATTCCGTGTGCCATGGGCTCATTCCCTCATAAATGCAGTGTCCATGAAAGAATGGACACAAATCTAGAGTACAGTGGTAATGAGGCACACATGTATAGGGAACCCGTGGTCAAATTGGTTCTGCTGGTCCTTGTTATCTTTTGCCTCCTTGTCAAATCCTCCTGCTGTTCACCCTAACTCTCTCTTTCTGATCTTCACTATCTATCTATTGGCTCCTTCCCTGCTGCCTACTGATACACTCATGTCTTCCAACCAGTCCAGCTCTACACCATCCTGCTCTCTTGAATCCCTGGCCCTCTTAACATACTGCCAATTATGCCCAGCCAAGCCTCAGCCTTGGATCACTCCCACTATTCGTCCCTTTCTGTCCCACACAAGTGCTTCTGAATGAAGATGGAGAAAATCATGCCACCATTCTGACTGCTTCTACTACAAATTTATATTATATAACCTCCACTGGGTCCTCACCTCTTCGAGGCAGTCCTGCTACATCCTACATCCCCCTCAAGGGACTGGGGAAGACTGAAGTCTGTGGGAGTACCTGAGATTGTTTCTTAGATGCTCAGGGAATGGCTTGAACAAATTGTGGTATGTGAATGTAATGAAATATTATTGCACCAAAAGAAATTACACAAGATGATTTCAGAGAACCCTGGAGAATATGAACTGACAGTGAAGCAGACAGAAGCAGAATAGTTTATAAAAAGACAACAATATTGTAAGGAAAAGTAACTTGGAAAGACTTAAGAAATCTTAGTGCCATGACCATGTCTCCAAAGGAACTATGATAAAGCATGTTACCTCCTGACAAATAACAGACACAAAGTACAAAGACTTATTTTGGGACATAGCCACCTTGTGGAATCATTTTTGCTTGAATATGTTTATTTGTTACAGAGTTTTGTTTTTTCCTTTCTTGGTTAATTAGAGGGGTTAGCAGTGGTGATGCCAAAAGAAAGAGGGCCATGTGATATTTTTTTTTAGTGCACGGAACAGAAGGGATTTCAGAAGGAAGCCCGGGTAAACATAAAGAGTTTTAAAGGGATATGTATTTATTGCATATATTTTTTAAAGCAAGTAGTGTAAAAGAGATTCAGGGTTTCATATGGAATCTTTTTTGTTCTAAAATCAAATCAAATCAGCTAGTTCCTCAAAAAATATGTACATACATATTCATATGTATAAAAATACAGTAAGCTACTTGTGGGCAGATATCCTCTTGCTTTTTGTATTTGTATCACCAGCACTTAACACCATACCTAGCAAATATTAAATGCTGAGTTTTGGTTTGTTTTTGTTTTTGTTTTTTCCCATTCATCCCTCATACCTTCTACATGAAATTTTTATTTTTCATCAGACATCATATGCTGACATCAAGTATGGTGTAGGCCTGGGCAAAAATTTCAGAATTGGGAGCAGGGAATGCCAGGCAATTTTGCTTTCATCTTTCCCCTGGGACTGGGAAGCACATATATACATATACTGTACCCTGCCATGATCACTTCTGTCACACTTCTCCCCTGGTGTGATTTGCCTAGGAGAAAAGAGTGCACTGTCTGAATGTGGCAAGAGAACCCATGAATTGTTCCCCTTTGGGTGTTGCCTTGTGACTTTAAACCTGCCTACTGAAGATGGATCAGATAGGTCATTTCAGAGGTAGAAATACAGGACTCTGCAATTAATGATGTGAGAGGACAGGAATGAGAAAAAATATTTCAGAGTTTACAACTGTGTGACAGGAACAGAAAAATATATTGAGAAAGAGCAAGTTTTGACACGTTTATTTTCAGAATACCCAGGTATCTAACAAGCACTGGGAAGTATTGTACTGAATCTGGAAAGACAGCTCTGGATAGACATTTGGGAGTCATATGCATACAGAGAGTAAGTTAATTGGATGAAACAGTTCTAAATATGGGTGTCCCTTAAAGTCCTGTCCAAGGTCTGCTTAGTTTATGGTGTCTTAGTGATCTCATCAACCTCAATTGGTTCATTATCTCCATGCAACTGACTCCCAAGGGGGGGGTGGGGGGGGGGGTGTCCAGCCCAGACTCTCAAGATGCCCTCCTACATCCCCAGCTGCTTGCAAAACATCTCCAGTTGCATTACCAGTAAACACCTCAAACTCAACAGCACAACTTCTCTCTCAACCCCTTGCTCTAAACTTGATTTTTATTGAGGGCGTCACCATCCTTCCAGCCACTAGTTTACAATCTAAGTCATCCTGAACTCTTCTCTCACTCTCTAGATCCAATCAGTTTCAACAATTCTGCCTTCACACTATATCTTCTCCACTCACAGCCATCACTCTAGCTTAAGTTCCCATTACGGGCTTTTCCAGACCATCGCAGATGCCTTGTGATTATTCTTCCGGTTTCCCATCTCTTCCCCTACCCAATCTATCTCCCACACAGCCGCCAAGATAATCTTCCTACTGTTACTGAGAACAGTAACAGTTCTCGAGAAGCTCGAGAACTTCCAGGGCCTTTATCACCTCTAAGGTACAATACAAACTCCATAGTTGAGAATTGAAAGCTTTTCACAGTCTACCTCCAGTCTCCTTTTCCAACTTATTTTACATTATTCCCTTTCACCAGCAAGCTGGGGTACTTGCTGTCTGTCAAACTCTACATTCTGTCTCCTCTTTGGCTTTTTGCAAGTCTCTCAGAAATGCATGCCCCTCGAACTTTTAGAATCCCTAGCTTCATTTTAAGGCTAATTTCAGCTATCACCTCCAGGAAAGAAGTTTTTTCCCAATTTTTCCAACTCTACCCCCCACCACTGTTAGGGCAGCTTGGTGGCAAAGTGGATAGAGCACCAGGCCTGAAGTCAGCAGGACCTGAGTTCAAATCCAGCTTCAGACAGTAGCTATGTGACCCTGGGCAAATCACTTGACCCTGACTGCCTCAGTTTCTCATCTATCAAATGAGCTGGAGAAGGAAATGGCAGTATCTTTGCCAAGAAAATCCCAAATGGCGTCATGAAGAGTCGGGACACAACTGAACAACAAAGTTGTTAGTTTTCTTGCCTGTTGCAAATTATCAAGTATGTACTATTGTATTCCTCTCCACCATCCACCACCAGGAAAATAGAAGCATTTTGAAAGTGCAGACAGTGAGTTATTTTTGTTTGTTTGTTTTCTTAATACCAGTGTGTGAAACAACAGACATTCAATAAATGTTTTATTGTATACAAGGTATTTTGGGTTCATAATTAAGCAACTTTCCTCACATAATGAGGTAGAAACCACCCTATCCCATTTATTATGGGTACCTTACCTAGGTGAGAACGTATTTCAATCAATCAGCAATAATCTAAAAGGCTTTCAGTGTTGCACGAGAAACTTCAAAAAGGCAAAGGAACTTGACCACACCCCAGGGACCATAAATCAAGAGTTAAATTCCAGAAATTGGAGTATGAGGTTCTAGCTGAACTCTGAGAAGGGGGATAAAAGGCTCTTCGGGCCTTTGGCCTCAGCCAACTCTCCTCCCTCCCAACCTTTTGACTGGAAGCGGACATGCCACCTTCGAAAGGTTTGGAGGATGGAAAACTTTTAGTCTTTGCAGGTGTCCTAGCATCGTACTCCTTGGGACGGCAGCAGTTTCCCATTTTCCCAGGGCTATCCTAAGTGGCTTCTCCAGATTGTCTGGCAGTAGGGCCTGACAGGTAATGAAGATTCACTATCCTTAAGCACTTCATGAGTGAGACAAAGGGACTTAGAGAAACCAGGAGCTATGAATTACATCTTTGCCACATGTGCTCTCTAAGCTTGACCCTACTTTCCCCCATACTCCATACGAAATTGAGAGAGCATGTCACAGATAAGGGGTTTGGGGAGGTGGTGTATTTGTACAACTTGTATTTCTGAGCTTGCTATACCACCCTAGTAAATATTCTAACAAAACTACTTTTGACTGGCTGACAATCTTGGGGGAATTCAGACCAACTGAGGATCAATCAGTGGCATTACAGAAAACTACCCCATCATTCCTAAAGAGATTCCCTCAGAATTCAAGGGAGATTTGTAGCCAGCCCAGCTCTGGGAACCCCACTGTCTGTGATAATGGGAATTAGGATAAGGATACCCCAAAACTTACAGTGGCCATACTTATAACCACACTGTAAGAAAGAAGTATTTTCCTCACTTTACAGATGGATTGAGAGATCCAGCTTTTTGAGTCCAGCATTCTCATTAATCATAACACCTCACCACTGTAGCATTTTCTTAAGGATTGCAAAGTGCTTTCTTCACAACTCTGAAATAGGTATTGCAGATGTTACCATCAACCTTTTATAAATGAAATGGGATAAAAGAAGTGATGTCCAAAGTCACATAGCTGAGAACTCCCACTAAAGGCTACTATTTGAACCTAGGTTGCCTTTTCAGTTTGCTTAATCACAATTAGCAAAAATGAGCACGTGGAAATACTCTTGGGAAATGACAGCACTTAGGGGGTCAGCAAAGAATTTGAAACCCCGAGAATCAGGAGAAGGCAATGTCATATAGAGTTAAGGGCATTTGAAGAGTGTCATTTAGAGGTGGACATAAGCCAGGCTTCAATGGGGCTAAACAGGATGCTTGTCAAAGAACTAGAGACGGAATTCAGACTGCACTTACTCAATTTAACAAGAACGGAAGGAAGACCTGATTTCGAATAATGCCTTTGATACTTAATAGTTTTGACATCACCAGCTATGAAATTCAGTTACCTCAATCCATAGAACTGGGATAATAGCAATAGTACCTTACAGGCTAACAAATCTGACGATATTATAGTAGCCTAAGGTGGTAGTCAGGTCAGGGAAGAGGGGGTTGGGGGGGGGGGCTAGGAAACACCTGTTTCAAGGCAAAAGGGAAGGAACCCATCAGCAAAGGAGAAATTGAAGATTAAAACAGTGTTGGTGGGATCAGAGTCCTTTAGCCTGAAGGAAGACCACTTTATCTCAGATTGGAGGCAGAGAGAAAGAGGGGAAACATCTCAAGCATTGGGAAAGTGAAGTAGGAAAGTAAGACAATCTGCTGGTAACTGGAGGCTCCCTCCAGCTTGAGAAATGTATACAATTACACAACAGGGAAGCATTCCAGGCGAGGTGGGAGCGCACGGCTCCAGTTTCAGGACTCGCTCCAGCCTCCCTGGGCTCCCCTCCTGACGGTGACCGTCACGACCGTGGAAGGTTGCGGAGTGAGGTGGTAGCCAGGTGAGGGCTCCCTGGGGGAAGGATACTACAAAGGGCAGCAGGGAAGGAAGGTGCTCCCAGTCAGGAGACAGGCTGACGACCAGCCTCATGGCTGTAGGCGGTGCTGCACCGTTTCCTCTCGGAAGGGGGAGTCCCACCTAGTCCTCAGGAAGCCGACTGACTCTCGCTGGAAAGGTGGGCAGTCTGTAGCGGGTAGAGCTTGGGCCACTGGGGGCTTGGCGAGCTCGGCCCCAGCTCTGCGGATTGGTCTACAAGCCAATCAGCCTGCCTCTATTTATACCTTTTGGGACCCCCAAACTCCGATTTCCAGCACCAGACTGGAACCGCCAGACCCTTAGACCCCACCTGCTCTGCATCAGTACCCCCAAGCCCCGCAGGACCGCATTTTGGGCTGTCTGTCCAGAGCCCAGGAGAGCTGCGCCCCGATGCCCAGTGGAAGGCAGGGCGGACCCTGCACAGCCAGGAGACCTACACGCCCCGGAGGGTGAGCCCTGCCCTTCCATACTACAAGCGGGAAGAGATGACCGAGGGGAGCCCACTGAATGTTTGTGTTGCCCCCACGGTGCCTTGTAGGGACCTAGGCTCCTTGAGCCGCCAGCTCCTCACCTGCAAGACAGACAGGTGGTCCATCAGGCCTCCTCCAGCCCACACAGTCTCTGAAGTGACCACCGGAAGGTCCATCCCATTGCTTCCAGTCATCTGAACAGTCGGTTGGGGGTCCTTCCTGTGCAATGCCTACCATCTCGCCTCCATCTGGGTCTGAGTTCCCAGGAGCCGAGGCCAGAAGGAAAGCTTAGGACCATAATGAGGGTTAAAAGAAAGAAGAAATAGGGGGTGGGGGTGAGGGGGAGGGGCTTGTTATGGGTATTACAGGTAATGAAGAGAAGGGAAAAGAGAGAAAGGGTATAACCTTGTTTTTTCTCTGCTCTGGGGAATGATCTCTGAACTAGACCCAGTTTAAGGAAGGGGAGAGTTAAAAGAACCTAGCGGCTCTAAGCCGAGTCTAAGTCACCTGTTATCATTCAGGTTGTTTCAGTCACGTCCAACTCTTTGTGACTCCATTTGGAGTTTTGTTGTTGTTGTTTTGGGGGTT